ATTTTTTTTTTTAATCTGTTGTATTTTCTTATACAGTTCCTAATTTAACTATGTAAGTACAAAACCCCCGGTACACAGGATAATTCTGAGCGGTGTAAGTATAATCGAGACCAATGTTTATTTTATTATCCTATTTCTAAAAATCCCAATATCAGGCAACTAGCAATTGAGACATGTCCTTAATGCAGATAGCAATTTTTCCCATGTATGCATATTGAACATGTATACTATAAACTAATCTTGTTAACATACATTTGTCTACAATAATGAATATTAACTAAACTTTAAAGGGATTGTTGTTGTAATTTCATGTGACCCTGCCTCTTTATCTTTATCCTATATAGCTTTATTTAATTAAGAAATATCGAGGATCGAAAGTTTTCCAGCTAAAAAAGTGTTAATTTTCAAAATAATCAATTTTCAGAGAGAAACACTATCTCATTTAAAAGATATTTTTTACTCTTAATCCTACAAAGGTTTAAAGGGTACCGTTGTAAATTGAACAAGCCACATCACAAGTGCTGAGTCACTGTAAATTACGTCTACAGTCTCTTTAACATATTCTTAATTTTTGGTGTTAAGCACGGTACTAATGCAAGGAAAGTTAATTGCAGTTGCGTATACTCTGCGTACATATTGAAACCAGTTCTCTCTGGGCGGAATTTGTAAACAAGAATAGATGTTTAGTGTTCGTCTAGTATCCGAGGAGGATATAAGCATTTAATTAAAAAAAATTTGAAAATTCACGTAATAGTTTCCTATGACCAGAATATTTCATATATTTCATAGATTATTTTTGTGAAAATTGATTCCAGGCTGTGACATCCGTCTTGTGTTTACTTTTCCGTCCAAAGACAGTACACTGCAGTACAAAAAATGCGTACACCTCTGAAATAACTTTCCTTGCATTAATACCTTGGTGTTATGCCTGCAGTTACCAAAAATAAAAATAAAAATAGGATCCGACGGGACCGACGGTACTTTTATCAATTAAGAATTTACATAAATCATTGACAGTCTGTGTGTCTGTCTGTGTACCCGTCCTAACAGCATTATGATGGATTAAGGATTAAATCCGAACACGGTTCTGATTTTCCCAAGGTTAGATTAAACCCTCTCCGGGTCCAGTTCTAACCAGGTGACACGGGGGGTGGTTAGTTCTTCCCACGTTTATTTAGCATCACTGTCTATCTGTCTATCTGTCTATCTGTCTATCTGTCTATCTGTCTATCTGTCTATCTGTCTATCTGTCTATAAAACGATTAAACCCCCTATTTCAATGGAATTTATAAAAATAAGAATGATAAATATTCTTGATCTAAATAAACTTGACACACTCCCTTTTCAGATTATACACTTTCTTTCTTTCTTTTCCTTTCTCTGTTTCTGTAGATAGTTTGAACTACTGGCTCCGGGTATGTTATGTATTCCTATCTACGGAAAGCTCGAAATACTTTCCCTTCTCCCCCAGAAACCTCTTTCTAATCTTTCTCTTGGTTTTACACTTTCACGTACAGAGAAAGCAAGCTAGTAAGATACAAAGCTATAAAAATAAGATATTTTAGCCAGGGATAAGATTGCAAGCTATTAATAAGATCGCAAGCTATCAAATAAGTTTGCAAGCTATAGTTTCAAGATTCCAAGCTATTGATAAAATTGCAAGCTAATAAAAGATTGCAAGCTATTAATAAGATCGCAAGCTATTAAATAAGTTTGCAAGCTATAGTATCAAGATTCAAAGCTATAGTAACAAGATTTCAAGCTATTGATAAGAATACAAGATTGAACACTTGTAATAAGATTTGAAGCTATCTTTAAGATTTCAAGCTAGCAATAAGATTACACTCTAGAGTAACAAGATTGAAAACTAAGTAAGTAGTATAGAGTTATATATTGGGGATTTCATTAAGAGTCAGTAGGCAAGCTATTATGATAAAACCTTTAACATAGGTAAATTTTACTTAATTTTCAGTTCTGACTTCTGATGTATTATTAGCAATCTGAACCGATGTGTTTATTGGTAACATAAAGTTTAAGTCTCACTTGTGTTAGCTCACAGTACCCCCCTTCTATACATAAAATTACATACTCTGAATGACGTCACCACCTGCTTAAATACTTTAAATTCCACTGTGTGCGCTTGTATCTTCCCTAAATACTGGTGTAAAAACAAAACAAAAATGCGGGCGCGGTATTTTTATGAAATGAACCAAACGATTAAAATAGTTTTGTGTAAATATGAAATTTTGTTTGATAAAACCACAGATCTCTGTGCTCTAGGTGTACCAGGAGAGCTTGTTTACTTATCCCAAGCATAGAATACAAAGAGCCGGTGTTATTAGAAAAGCTTGATAATAAAATTAGTTTGTTTTGTCAAAGCTGCAGAAATTAGGGATGTCAAAATATGTTTGTTTTTCCCAGTAGGTTGGATACATGATACGAAATATGAATTTAGTTTTATTCTTCAAAAATAATATTATTGTTTATATTATTTGTAGTTCACATCATAATCGTTTATGTTGTCAGAGCCATCTACATTATGCATAAAAACGAACGATTTTGAAGTTTCGCCATTCCTTTCTGTCCTCTATTCTTATGTGCTTGCCTATGTCCTGATACATTTTCTAGTCAAAGTATTCTAGAAACGTTGGAATATGATCAGGCATATGTACGAAGACACTTAATGTTTATGTTTTGGGACAAAAAAATGTTTAATATTTTCTAAAGATACAGAAATAAATAACGAGCAGAGAACTCATAAAGATCTAATTTTTTCAAAGCTTTTAATGGAAAAACGATGTGGGGGAGGGGGGTCGGAGTAAAGTATAATACCGTGCTTCTAAGTTCTATACCCTGAGAAGCACAAACAAATGCTCTAAAAGTAAATATTGGCGGATTTATAGATATTTCTCAAATGCCGCAGTTAATCGTCTAAATTCCAAACAATGTACACAACACACATGCAAGCACTAAGGTTTATAAATCCCCTATGACAAGGTTCGGCTTCTTTATCATTCATCCTTTGCTCCAGGTAGATAAACAGTAGAGAAATTATTCATTTTTGCAGATATTTTCCATGTGTTTAATTTTCTTAAACTGCATTTCAGTTTTAGGCCCCAATTATATAAATTAAGTAATAACAAATGTAAATAAAACTTGAATGTCAAGACATAATAACTGTGGAAAGGTTCTTTTAGAGAATTTTAAACGGTTTTGCAATTTTTTACCTTCAGTTTAAATCTGTTTGCAGGTTCATGCATTGCTCCGTATATTGAATTGTACTGAAAGAACGTATACCGGGCTACATACATCAAACAGGATAAGTGTCAGTAAACATTGGTAAGTTCTCCCGACCCTTGAAAACCTGATCCTAATCTTAAACTAGAATATTTAGCCCCTCAAGGTTGAGCTAACAATCGATAAAATAGAAAAACTTCAAGAAATGTAAGGATTTAACATTACATACAAGGTTTACCATCGAAACTGTATATTTATTTAGACGATTTAGAGTCTTTTCTATCTTTCAAACTGTCTTTTATTCCAACGTTTTCAAAGATTTATATTTTGATGTTTATCTCGGGGTATAATTGGAACTACTCAGGACGGACCCAGAGGAGAAATATTAATCTCCAACCTATTATCCCAGTTTTGTCCCATGATATTCAAATGTCATTGTATCCGTCCTCCCCTAGGGAGTGGTATTAACCCCCTGGACCCGGAGTATTGTCTACACGTCCTTGGCACCTGCTCCGTCTTTATATGGATCAGACTGGAGGAGAATAAGGAGTCAAGATTGTTTATGGGCAAGACTAATTGTACCAAGATGGGTTGAACCTTTTAGATTTATTTTAAAGGATACATAGTTAAGCCTTTTACATTTAGTTTTTAGGATACATAGTTAAACCTTTTAGATTTAGTTTATAGGATACATAGTTAAACCTTTAGGTTTAGGTTATAGGATACATAGTTAAACCTTTTACATTTAGTTTATTGGATACATAGTTAAACCTTTTAGGTTAAGTTTATAGGACACATAGTTAAACCTTTAGGTTTAGTTTATATGATACATAGTTAAACATTTAGGTTTAGTTTATAGAATACATAGTTAAACCTTTAGATTTAGTTTTTAGGATACATAGTGAAACCTTTAGATTTAGTTTAAAGGATGCATAATTAAACCTTTAGATTTAGTTCAAAGGATACATAATTAAACCTTTTAGATTTAGTTTATAGGATACATAGTTAAACCTTTAGATTTAGTTTATAGGATACATAGTGAAACCTTTAGATTTAGTTTATAGGATACATAGTGAAACCTCTAGATTTAGTTTAAGGATACATAGTTAAACCTTTATGTATAGATTAAAGAATACATATATGGCTATTTGAACTAGCATTATTAATAGTTCGAAAAATCATACAGTGATAACCAGAAAACTGTAGAATATGAATACGACAGTATTATAATACTGAAGTACATTTGATGTTGTTACAAATGACGTACTAAGTGAAATGGGTCTGCTAACACTGCACATTTACTGTGCCTCATGTTCATTGACCTATTTAAAGTCATAACTTGTGTCTAAAAGTCGACTTTCTATTCCAGAGTTTTCTGGTTATCACTGAAGGTGTACAAAATTAGGATTTAAAGATATCAGGATTAGAAAGCTAGAGTTTGTGACTAGTGCTTTGTTTCAGCTTTGAATTCTGATATGTAAGCAAAAAGTTATCTTTATGATAAATTATGAATTAAATAGCTTAAAGGGATTTTACACGTAATTTCTTAATTTATGGTATCTGATATTAATGTCAATAAAAATTTCAGTTCATATTGATAATTAAAAGCACATTATATCTTTTTAACCCCTAATTAGCTCATATCTTAAAATAGTCCCAAGATGAAGATTGTCTTTAAAATGTTTAGCCGGAAATAGGATTTTTAAGTAGAGACCACAAATTTTTCAAGTTATTTCAAAATAGATTTTTTTAGTAACGAAAAATGAATAAACCTGAACCCATGAGATGAGCTTGCCATCAAGGTAGAGATCTATATTGGAGAGATAAGGAGATGGTCCTCGGTCTATAATGACCTCGTTCAACACTAACTGGTTTGTGCTTGGGTCCAACTACAAATATTAAACAATTAATTCTTTTGTTAAAATTAAAATTTCACAAAGAAAATGCGCAAAAAGGCCTTTGCAAATTTCGCAATATTCAAATATATTTGAATCGAAAATGTCAGAGGATAGGCTGTTTGAATTTATGTCTATGACTAGAAGTTCTCAAGAGTCAAGTGACATACTAATCTATACAAATGATAACCAATCGTTCCTAGCAACCAGACTAATGCTAGTTTATAGTTCACCATTCTTTGATGTTCTGTTAAATGGACCGTTCAAGAAAGGAAAGAAATTAGAACGTCAACAAACTTCAACAATATATTTGAATATGACAAAAGATGAGCTGTATCCAGTTTTAGCTCGAGCGATGTACGGTGAAGGCGAGATCAACGATAAGAATGTGAAAGATATGATTAAAGTTGCTGATTTCCTCGGGATCAGCACAATTGTTGAAGAATGTGAATTATTCATGGAGAAAATCTTGAATCCAGAGAACGTTGTGGAGCTCTACATGTTTGCACTGGATTACTTTTTCATAAATTTGAAAGCTTCAGCCCTGAATTTTATACTGAACAATTTCAGTCTAGTAAAAGAATCATCGAAATCAGGAATCTTAAATCTTCCTGAAGCTGATCTAATAGAAATACTTTCAGACCATGGATTAAGGTGCACAGAAGAAGATGTGTGGAAATTTATCTTAAGTTGGAACAGGGCTAATAATACAGAGCCTTCACTCGCCCTTCTCTTAACAGCCCGGTTTGGAAGGATGGATGATGATGAGGATTGGGAGTAGCAGAGAACAGTCTCTTTATTATGTACCTAATCCATTTATTGAAATCAGAAAAAGCTGTTTTTTAAATCTTTTATGAAATAAAACTTTATTACAATGCTTTTTTTTTCTTCTTCCTTCAAAATACTATTGCTCCTTTTATATTATTTGTTTTTGGTTTTAATTTATTAAGAACAATCTTTTGTGTTGTTACCAGCTTGATGAAACACTGTTTAATTTATTAAGAACAATAGCTCTTATGTTGTTACCAGCTTGATACAACACTGTTTCATTTATTAAGAATAATCTTTCATGTTGTTACCAGCTTGATAAAACACTGTTTCATTTATTAAGAACAATCTTCTATGTTGTTACCAGCTTGATGAAACACTGTTTAATTTATTAAGAACAATAGCTTTTATGTTGTTACCAGCTTGATGAAACACTGTTTAATTTATTAAGAACAAT